GTATATCACATTTGGAACAGGATCAGCTCCTTTTCTGCTTAATTGTTTAAAGGTGACATTTGCTGTAGAAAATAGGGTGAGTAGGAATTTGCAAACCTATGATGTCCAAACTTTTTTTTTTAGCGAACGTTGGAGGAATATATAAGGATCTTCAGAAGCTATCACGTCTCTTTAAAGATCGGCTGGTGTACCCTCTTCTGGCTTTTACCCGGCAAGGTAAGAAAAGCACTGAAGGAAGCATATTGTGGATCCTTTGTGAAAACAGTGCTTTGTCATAGTGGCTAAAGAGTATATTAAGAGTGCAGTGCCAATTCTCTTTCTCCGACTTCTCCATTAGTTTCCACGTTGCTTTTGGTTATTAAGTGCATAGACCCACCAGCCTGGAACTCACCACTGAGACGCATTGCATACTTCTGGTATGCTAAACTGTCTTTGCCTACAGACTCTGTAGCCTTGTATCTGTAGCCTTGCTTAGGATTCACCCCATCCTCTAATCTCAAGTGATCAAGATGGGTCCCAGCACTGGAAGGATCCAGTTCCTACGAGTGATTGGGTAGCCAGCCTCCAGTTTCAGATTGCTTTCCAGTATTCATAAATCAATATATTTCTTCCCCTCTTGGTTGCAGTGAATGACCTACAAAACTGAATAAGTACCAATTGCTAATTTGGGAAATGTTAATAAAATAGATAAAAATCTGAAACTGCCTTTTGAAGTCTGAAAGAGATTCATGTTTCATTTAAGGGGCAAAGACCTCTTCTGTTGAGCCAGCTGGAGAGTCTGTTTACTCTGTGGCTTGAGAATATACGAAAGCAATAAAAGGCTGGCTTTGATCTGTATCTGTTCTCTCCCCCCACCATCCCTGGACTGTTGAAAAACTATAGAATGCAGCATATTGAGCAGAGCTAATGTCATGTTGTAGTTGCCTGAGATTTAATTTTCCCAGACCTGGGATGTGGCGCTTGTCCAATGTGTATATTTCTGAGGCCATAGAGGAGTTAGGTGATTAGGACCAAATTAGATGTGATGTTTGGTGTTGCATAGGTGATTTAATTGCAAACCCCCCCCCCCCAATGGTGGTCAGTTTGCGTGTGTATGTAGGGGCATGGAGAGAAGAGATGGGCTCTAGGCTTTTGCTTCTGCCATAGTCCTGGTTGGAGCTGGAGCCCCTGCCCCAGCCACACGTGCTATTCCCACAATGGAATTTCCAGTTGTGGCAGAGTGTAAAGCTTCCCTCCCATTCAGCTGCCCCAGTCTGGCTCAGCACCCCTTCCTTTCAGGTTGGCAACTTGGTTTCACATATACAGTGCCAAACGTCAGGCCAAATGTCTCACCTGGTTTGTCCCATAGTGGACAACCATTCACGCTGCCAATTTTTCCCAGAGAAGCTTGATCTCTTTAATATTAGCCGGCCATATGATTACAATGGGAATAGCTAAGAGGTAGAATTATTTTGCTTAAGTGCCACGCTTCCCCCCCCACCGCACACCTGTTTTCTGAATGTGTGTGTGTGTGAGATGCCTTAGTGAAGTTCCTTGGCCCAGGCTGTTAGCTGGACCTGATACAGAAACACCACATAGCTTGCCCTGTGATCCTTCACTCCCTTTGGCATATCAGTTTTTGCCTTAGAAATTTAGGTGTCGCTTGTGGTGATAGAGTTTGTAAGTCGCTTGGACAAATTCCTGACTTCTGTGTTTTGAACTCTAGCCACTAGTAGCATTGAACATGTACAGCTGACCATTGGAGACCCCCCATAGAGGACCAACCGACTGTTGGTCTGCCTTTTTCAGTTGTAACCATCCTGAAAGGGTCTTGGAGAGACAGTTTTCCTAGTATTTCTGTTAAGGATACTGATATTAGGGATTGAAACTGAGATCCTCTCCATACAAAATCATGTATTTTACTGGCACTTCACCAGACACCTTAGTGATGGAGTCTAAAGGATGGGCATTAGATATAGGCTATATTACAGTGGTACCTCAGTTTAACAACAGTCCGGTTTAAGAATGATTCGGTTTACAAACTCCGCAAAACCAGAAATAGTGTCCTGGTTTGAGAACTTTACCTCAGTCTAAGAATAGAATCTGAACGATGGAAGGGCACTGGCGGCGGGAGGCCTCCTTAGGTTAAGCATGCCTCAGTTTATGAACTGTTTTGGTTTAAGAACGGACTTCTGGAACGGATTCAGTTCGTAAACCGAGGTACCATTGTACTCTGCTTATATTTCATTTGAAGTGGTGGTGCTTTACTGTACTGGCTTGTATTACGTGGTGGCTTTATTGTCTCTCAGGCACTGTCATTTAAAAAATGAGGCCTGTCAACCATTTTGTAGGCCATTAAAGGTAAAGGTAAAGGTACCCCTGCCCGTACGGGCCAGTCTTGACAGACTCTAGGGTTGTGAGCTCATCTCACTCTAGAGGCCGGGAGCCAGCGCTGTCCGAAGACACTTCCGGGTCACGTGGCCAGCGTGACGAAGCTGCTCTGGCGAGCCAGCGCAGCACACGGAAACGCCGTTTACCTTCCCGCTATAAAGCGGTCCCTATTTATCTACTTGCACCCGGAGGTGCTTTCGAACTGCTAGGTTGGCAGGCGCTGGGACCGAACGACGGGAGCGCACCCCGCTGCGGAGATTCGAACCGCCGACCTTTCGATCGGCAAGCCCTAGGCACTGAGGCTTTTACCCACAGCGCCACCCGCGTCCCAATGTAGGCCATTACTAAGTCATAAAAGAGGGCATGGTACTGTATTCTTGTTCATTCCCTTGATAATTATTTTCATTTTGAGGTTTTTGTTCTGAAAGCCACTGTTTTCTAGCTGCATTTTAACAGCAAGCCTTGTATCTGACAGCAGTTCGTGATTGTATAAACCATATTATAATGAACTATATTTTACTACAACAGCACTGTGGATAATGCCATTTTCTCCACCCCCATTCTGTCTTAACTAGCTTTGAACCTCCCAGATGTGTTTGGCTTGGTGGTTCTTCCACTGGAACTGAAACTAAGGATTCTCCGACTCCTGGATTTCCGCTCACTTTTATCTTTGTCTGCTGTTTGCCATGACCTCTATGCTGCTTCAAATGATCAACTACTGTGGAGATTTGTGTACCTGCGGGATTTTAGAGGTGAATTCCTACTCACTTCCTCTTATGATGCTTTGAGGTGAAATGGCAGGCTTGATCCCAAACCTAGTTGTATTAAGTGGAGAGCAGCTGGCAAATATAGCTATAACTATTCAAGGAATAGTTATTGGATAAAAGGGTGCACCCACCAGAGAGACTTGTGGCATTGTATCTGCTGGAAGGTTTTTAATTTTTTTAAAAAAATTAATATAAAACACAGTACCAACTTCCTGAATTAACTGGAGTATGTTTTCTGCTGTACAGAAATGTCTTATGGGATTGCTGTATTAGAAACTGATTTCTAATTTGTGATTTCTGCTTAGATTCTGTTACCAGGCCCCGAGATACAGACTGGAAGGAAGTAAGTGACTCTCTTGATTTTAAAAAATTCTAATACAGTGGTGTCTCTGGTTATGAACTTAATTAGTTCCAGAGGTCTGTTCCTAACCTGAAACCATCCTTAACCCGAGGTACCACTTTAGCTAATGGGGCCTCCCACTGTCCCTGCGCTGCCAGCATGCGATTTCTGTTCTCATCCTGAGGTAAAGTTCTTAACCTGAAGTACTACTTCCGGGTTAGCAGAGTCTGTAACCCGAAGTGTGTGTAAGCTGAGGTACCACTGTACATGTTTTTAAGAATAGGCATAGGCTTAGCTTCTAAGCTAAATAAAAGTGCAATCAGTACAGGATACAAACTTGTACTTGAATACTCAGTTGATGCCAACCTGTATAATATTCTGTGGAATCTGAGTCCTACAATCTCTGGTCTCCTTTTTGGGGGTGGGGGTGGGGGAATTTTATTTAAACAAAAGAAAGGGAGGCCAGCCTAGTTGGACATCTTCCTCTAAACTAGAGGAACACCCTTTGATTTGGGGGCAGTTGTGTTGGGGAGTGTGATACTTTGAATAATGTTTGGGCTTAAATGCATATTGTATTTATCATTATAGTAGGTTAAGCCTTTTTCATTTGTTTTTTTCCACAGCTGTACAAGAAAAAATACAAGCAGAAGAAGGAAGCCCTGAGGTGGCGACACATGATGTTTCTACCCCCTCTCCTTCCTGTGCCACTTCATCCTAACTCGATATATCCCAATCCTTTCCTTCCCAATCCTCTTTATCCCCCAATGATCATTGGTGGTGAACATGATGAAAGGCCATCAGCTCCATATATTGCAGACCCGATCCACTCCCTCTTTTCTGGCGCTAGGGAGTTTCCTCAGCTTTCTCCCTTAGATCCATTCCTTACTTTCAGGCAACACATTGATTCACTTCCAGATCCTTGCCCCACACTCCGAGGAAGAGGCAGTCGGGTCCGTCCGATTGATAACCGCCGTGCATTCATATGACTGCAGCTTGGTTTTTAGGGCTTTAAACATACCTGCTCATGGGTTTGCTTTCACACCGTAGGATATTTCAGCCACAGGGTTCAGGTGTCTGGTTGTTGTTGTTTTTAATTATGGCAGTGCATATGTACTAGGAGATCTTGATTCTGGGGGTTTGGGCTCAACACCATGCAAATGACCAGGGCTGCCTCCCTTGGAACTGGAGAGACTTTCCTGAAAGAACTTTGTGGAAAACTTTCATTCTTTTCGTTACCATCTGCAAACTGCTTCTTAGAAAGCAAAAGGTGGTTGGCTTTAGCTACATCAGATAAAGAGCACTTTAAACACAAAGCATTATGTTGGTCTGGACTGTCTTTTTCTTTAAATAGGTCTATTAAATGAATGTGGTTGTGATTTTCCCTGAATAGCTGGCCTGATTAGATTTCTCTTCCATGAGAGAACTTCCTGTTCTATGCAACATCTGACATATGGAAAGCCCAGAGCCCCCAAAATGTATCTGATTTGATTCGCTTTCAGATACCACCTGTTGCTAAGTCTTTTTCTCTCTTTTTTATTACTTGAAAAGCAAACTTGGTGTTCAGGACTTCAATGCACAAACAATACTAGGTAAAAATGTCTTTTTGTTTACACTTGAAAGAATAAAACATTGAACAGTTTCAACTACAGGCAGTTGAATAACATCATGCTACAATGCAACCCAGAAACTAACCATGAGTAAGAAAGAATGCCAAAAACCGACAAGAAGACATTGCCTTTGTGCCTTGAATGATTCTTCTACCAGGAAAGAACATTTAAGGGCATTATAAAATAAGATGACAGAACTGACTCTGTACAGTCAAATGTGGTGAGCACTGTGTACTAGAGGTGAATGAGCCCAAGACTTATTTTCACCAATTGTAAGCAAGGGATATTTGCAAAAATACTTAGTTGTGGCTTGTTCTTTATGTTTGCATACACAACTGACAGGAAGTAAAAGATGTAACTATCCATAGAGCCAGTCAACCTGATTTGTGTTCAAAGAATCCAAGAGTAAAGAGGGTATGGCTGGAAAAAGGGATTGGCTGGTAAGGGGGAATTAATTACAGGTGATTGGTTTTTCTTAATCTAATGTTTTCAGCTGATTCAGATGCACTGATTAATAAGCCAATTTACTGTAAAGTCCCAAGTTTCTTTTGTTTGATTGGGTTTAAATAAGGCTTCACATAATGCTGTGTGAGAGAAAGAAAGCATTTTTTTTTTTTACTGATTGCAGCTTTAGATACACATCCCATAATGGTATGATTTCTGGGTGTGTCTAGAATGTGTACTCTGTTAAGAATGAGGTTTCTAGTTTAGTTGTATTGCTTTTCACTTCGCTAAGCTTGCTCAAGCAATCGCCCAATTAAGGTTTAGGGATGTCACAGTATTTCCAAGCATGCTGTGTTAAAGGTTAGAAGTGGCCCTTGATACTTGTACAGCTTTGGTGAGGCAGAGTGCTACTGGGTTGTTAAACTTGTGAGCACATATTTAAACTTAATTTTAGCTTACAATGGGGTAAAGTGCCATAAGCAACTTAAAATGTTTTCAGTTGAGAACATGCCCAAACCAGTGCTTAAATATAGCAGTATAGTTCTGATGTGCTACCAAACAACAAGTGCCTTCCAGATACACTTCTAAGAGTCTTCTGGTACTGTATAGTGGCAGGTTTCCACCAGGCCCATCTGCAGCTCCATACACTGGGTGTAGAAAAAATAGGAGGGCTTTCTCCTAAGCAATACTATTCCACTGGTGTAGTTTGCCCCCCCCCCTTTTGGATAAGGTGGCCTGTTGGTGGCCCTCATTTCTATAGCAGCCCTTTCTGCACTGAATAATATGTGAATTATTGTATCGTTTTGAGGTAGGTTAAAATGCAGTAACTTGCTTGCAATGGATCTTAACACTCCCTTGTAGCGGTGCAGGAAAAGCCCCGCGCTAGCAATCTCCAGAGGACAAGACTGTTCTGATTTCGGCTTCTGTATTCATAAAAATTTTGAGGTCAAAAGGTCCAAGCAGCTCAGTCAAGGGATAGAATAGTCAGAGTTATATTGCTGTGCTTCATGACATTGCAAAGTTGGAGTTAAACATGGCTTTGTTGGAAAGACATTTTGAAGAAAATAAAAGCCTTTGAGATCAGGTCATTATGAACATTGAGCCCAGCATAACATGGGCTAGTGCTGTGCCTAACGAGACAACACAAAACCTTCTTTTATAAACAGCAAGTTTCTGGATCGTAGCCATTAGTATTTCCAAATGCTGAATTATTCTTCAAAGTCTCAATGCAATCCAGATTGCTGTTAAAATTAAAATGCTTGTGATGTCTGTTGCTTTGTTTAGTGTTTCCCCAATGTAATGTGATGCACCATATGGCAGACTTTGCAGAGTGCATGAAAAGTAGCACCGGGACTGAGATCTGTGGGCTTGGCTATTAGTAATGCTCTGCAGGAGAATTGCATATTCAGCTTGTTTTAAAACTGAGTGAGCCACACGTTGGGATTAGTGAGCTGGGTGCATGGTGTGACTTCATGCAACTTCAATCTAATTTAGAGTGCTGAAATGGGAAGTGATCTACTTCATGATAGCCACATCATAGAACTCAGTTGTTGTAGTTACAGGAATGACTATTCCAGGTGTGGTTCAAAGATTTCCAATTGCTCCCTATCTTAAAATACATTTATGAGAAGCTTGCAATGCTAATATGCTATGTCCACGGATGTGTTGGATCTCCCATCCAAAGGTTTGACAGCCATTAAATTACAGATGGCTGTCAACCACTTTAGCAGGGCCCTGAAAATTGCTCTGCCTCTTTTTAATAATGTGTTTGGGACATGGTTAACAATTCTGTAAGGTTTGTTTTTTAAAAAATCTGCCAGCCAAGAAGATTTCACTTCTGTGTCAAAAAAAGCTTGCTTTGCAATAATATATAAAAATTATACACTGAAAAGTTATCACTTTTGGGCGTGGAGCGATGGTTCTGGTTCCATTGGAGTTTATGTAGGAAAGCTTGTTGCATAGCAGAGGTTCTTTAAAAAAAAGTCAGTGCTGTGAGCCTTCAAATTGATTAAACTAAAACACTGGTGCTTAAGGTGCTGTGAAAAGGACACCCAGAAAGACAGCTTTAAGGGATTCTGTTTGCAGAATCTGAACTTGTATGCACACACAGCGCCATTCGTAAGGTGAATGAACAGCAGCAGTTCACCCCACCTGCCACAGGCTCTCATCCATACATATGTCTGCTCGGAAGCCTGTGGCCGAAGGTCCATGTTCAGACCTTGGCCTAAATGTGGATGCTAAGGGGTGGGAGTAGGGGGAGGAATCAGCAAAAAGGGTGGCAGAGAAAAGGACAACAGTGCCATTATTAATACTGCCTCCAATGGAATGTGGCTCTTGATGAAAAAAAATATTCCTCACTCCTAGCCTAAATAGCAGTTTTAGAAGTTTGAAGAACTTCACATGTACTGCCAGATATGTAGCCTTTACTCCTCAAACCTGAGCTAGGGAGTGAAGAATGTGCATAGCAGGCCTTTGTTCTGATGTTATAGGGAATGTATGCAGGCGGGAGGGGGGCCTGGAGTATGGGTGGGCGCACAAGACCCCCCCTTTTTTTGCTGTCCATGTGAATAGGTTTTACAAGAAACTACTCTAGATGCTCCTGGGCAATTTCAAGGTAAACACAGAAAAGAATGAATCCGCAAAAGTAACTCCCCCCCCCCATTGCTCTCACTTGATGTGCAGAGATTAATCGGAAAAGAGGCTAGCAAACGACTTCCTCAGGTTGCGGATGGTTTCAGCTTTTGCCTCGTCTTCATTGGCTATTCCCCGCTGTGAGGATTCTGAGAGGCTGAAAGTGTTTGTCAGGGACTGTGACTTGCTGAAAGAGAGAGGGGGTGGGTTAAAGAGAAAAATGAAGATATGGCAAATTCTCCCACAAGAGCAAACGGGAGAGGGCTGAAAGCTAGACATTTAGGCAGCTATGGAGGCTCCAGGGCCCAGCAGGCTTCAGTTTCAACCCTTGCCCTTCTGCCGCTGAAAATAACAGCAGAAGCTACCATTGCCTGCTACTCCTGAGTGTTACACTACTACAGCATCCAATCTTGTAATAGTGGGCATTGTGTGCAAAGGGTAGGAACTTGACCTGTCAATTTTTGCTCTCATTTTCCCAGTCTTTAAATACAGTTCTACACATTTCTTCAGCAAGGTGAGATTATTATCATTAAAATCCTCAAGAAAACAAGCACATTCATATGCAGTTCACATTTTTGCAAGCAGTGTCCCCTAATAGGCATGATTGCAGGCTATTTTCACAAATGCATGCATTTTTAGGCACACTTTGCCCTAGAACAGTGGTTTTCAACCAGGGAGCCGTGGAACGATTGTCAGGGCGGCCACGGGCAGCACCAGCCTCCATCCTTCCCTCCTGCTTGCCCAGAGAGCAGCTCAGAAGTGCGAGTGAGCAAACAGGCAGACAGGCAGTGTGAGTGGTGCGGTTTCCCTGGGCAAAATGCTGCCTATTCGTCAGTGGCAAGTGGGTTGACTTCCTCTCCTTTCCTTTCCCCCTCTGCCCTCCCTCCTCCCAGCAGACAGCAGCAGCCTGGATCCCCTGAGCCATGGCACTCTGAGAAGCAGCTGCAGCAGCAGCTATGAGCCCCTCCCACTACCCCCCATGACTCCCCCCTGAAGCCCAAGCAACCTGCCCCAGGTTGGCTGGGTAACAATGGTCACTCTTCTCCTGTCTCGCCCAGGCTGCTTGCTCTGCAATTTAGAAAAGTGCAAATTTTGAGGTCTCTCTGTGTTTTGGAAAGTTTCAGTTAGGGAAGTTTGCGCCTTTAAATGTGAACTATCCCTACAGAGTGGTCATGAAGATTGGGTTCCTCTTCCTTAGCGCTGTACTATTAGGTACACCACTGAGCTTTTCGTATCCCTTGCAACAATTCTTGTGTGTCTTGGTCTGCCTGTACACAAAAATGAGTCCACTCGTGCCACAGGTGGGCAGATGTACATTGACTAAGAAGCTGCCGCTATCACCTGCTGTCTCCCTCTTTTTGCAGTGTACACACACTGTACATGGAAGTAGAGGAAGGGCTCCTAAAAGCAGCTATGCAAAGTATAGAATCATATTTCTGTCATATGGAGCAGCCACAGCCTTGTGAATATGTTTGGTAAATTTGGAAAGGGGGAGATGAGAGTTCTCTGCTGGTTAAGCTTCTTCTTAATGGACCTTTTGCCATTTGTGTTGGGGGCTTTTTAGCGTTACAGTGCCAGAATCTTGTTAGCAAGCTGGGTGAAGGAACCGGCACAACTATGGTGGAGGCAGTAGTGGGTTTCAACTCCACACAAATGTCCCCTTTATGGAATTGATAGTTGGATTAAGCTATTGCCACTTGAGAGAGAGCGTTGTTGCCTTCACTACTCAGTTGCACGAGTCCCTCAGGGCTTTCTGACCCCTTCTGTACACCTTGTTTGTACTCGCTCCCATACTGATCTGAGTGCACCACTCCAATAGTCATGTTAAGTATATTCACTGTAAAAGGCACCTACTTTAGATGAGGATGAGGAGGAGCCTGCTGCCTGGCTGGTTCGCCGGAGCCTTGCTGGCTGGGAGCCCGTCCTTGGGCTGGAGGTCTAGGCTGCTGTGGGGGGAAGGTGCCTGGTTTGGAAGGTTGGCTTGGTGAGCTTCCAGCGGATGATCTAGTTTGCTGGGGAGATCCAGGAGACCTCTGTTGCTGTGGTGAGGTGGACAGGGGGCTCAGAGGTTGCTGACCCTGGGGAGAGAGCCTTTGCTGGGGTGGAGTTCCTGTCCGGGCTGGCTGTGATCCCTGAGGCTGGCGTGGACCCCCTAAAGCAAAGAGGGACACTTAAAGAAAACACCAAGTGCTATATGTTGGAAGCAAGAACAATCTCCCTTAAGGTAATCAGACTCCTTGCTGTTAGCATTACAGTCCTTCCTTCGGTACAGTTTCCCATTCGTCTGCATGGCTGAATGCTAAGGGCTCCCTGCTTTGCATCAAATTTCCTTTTCAAAATCTGAATATAGAATTCGCATTCCTCACAGACAGTACAAAAGACCAGACCAGACCAAACCCAGATCATGCGGAAACCAATCTCCAGATGCTGCAGTGTTCGATATCCACGCTCCCCATCCCCTGCTTGCCTCTCCTTCAGGAATGTCATGCAAAATTATATTGGCCCATTATCTTTTCAAGCTCATCCATTCCTGCAACAGAGCTCGCCTTTAAAAACTATTTATCATTCTTCTCTTTTCTAATCATTCCCCACTAATAAAATATCTATATCCTCCATTTTAGGTATCCGATCCTCAGCTCTTAAAATCCATCACTTTGGTTTGTTTGTTTTAAATCATCAGGGTTGTTTAAGTCTTTTTTTTCTGAAACAAAATACCATTTATGACATCAAAAGCTATTTTTGGTATTTGTTACTGTTATGCGAGTCTCTGCTATTGAATCCAACTGATTCCAGAATATGTTGTCTAGGATTAAAGATGTTTTAAAAATCCTCCCCCCTCCCCTCCCCCCACCAAATAAAATTTGGTGCTTGGTTTGTGCTTTCCAGCTGTGATTCTTGCATTTCAGGGGGTTGGACTAGATGACCGTGGGGTCCCTTCTAACTCTATAGTTCTAGGATTCTATACTTATAGCCCTGGAATTCCTTACTTCTATTCTGCATTCCTAGAGGATTCCATTATATTCTCTTGCAGAACTTACATGCAAGTAAAGTGTAGTATGACTAGTACCTTGAGGAGGTGGTCGGGGTTGGGAAAGTGGTCCAAGCTGGGGTCCTGCCTGAGTCTGCATCTGTGATTTCGGCTGGAGGTAAAAAATGTTTTTTAAAAATCAGGTTGTATAGGTGTGCAAATAGAAACATATACTCCAAAGACACTACATTCCTCTATGACCATCGTTCCAAGGAAGCTGAACTCTGGATTGGTGTAGAAATCCCTAAATACTTTCACTGCATGGATATTGGGGTGCATGCTGCAATATGTTTCTCTAGACTTCATTCAGAAACTTGGGCTTGGTCACCTCCGGTGATGTCCACTTTGACAGTGCCATAAAATACCTGTTTAGGTGGGATGGGACACGTGATCAGGGCATTCAAAATTGATGGTACTGTGTATTTAAACTGCTTGAAGGAACATCCCCTGCAACCAGGTACTGTATTGGTCTGAGTATAAGCTGAACCTTTCCCCCCAAATTCCGATCATGAAAAGTTAAAATGCAGCTTACGGTATATTTGTGACCTTGCGGCACTGTCAAAGCGGTGCGGCTCCCCCCCCCCCGAGCAGCGCAGAGCAACGGCGCATGTCCCGTCCACGGCTCCCAAGCAGCCAAATTTTAAAGGTGTGGCATATTTGCGGGCGCAGCTTATATTCAGGCCAATACGGTGCAGGCATAATCCATAACCACAGATGTTTGTAGTGCAGAGGTTGTGCAGGTAGAGTCTGCTTTCTTTGTTTAATTGGGGCATGTGCCCCAGAACCTGTCATGTAGGGTGTATTCATGTGCATCTGTAACAACCCCCCCCACCCGCTCCATGTGCTTCGGCAACTGTGCATAGAGATATAAATAGGAAAGGATCATTTCCAGCTGTTTCCACCACTTTTCTTGGCGTATTTCCCTTTTATATTAAGGGAAAGCATCCCATCCAAGTTAGGGGTAGGAGGCACTGGTTCCAGTCCTACTTGGATTAACATTTCCAGAGAGTGATGATTGGGGTGTGCTGTTTGGCTCTGTGGAGCCATCAATGTGGAGTTCCTCAGCATTTGATTTTATCCCCCATGCTGTTTAACATCTCCATGAAACCGCTGAGGGGGTTATCCAGAGGTTTGGAGTACATTGTCAGCAATATGCTGATGATACATAGCTCAACTTCTCCTTTACATTTGCAGGTGGGGCAGTGGGTGTGCTGAACCATTGCCTTGCCTCTGTAGTGGACTGGATGAGAACCAAGAAAATGGAGCTCAATCCTGACAAGACTAAGGCACTGTTAGTGGGTGGTTCCCTAGATTGGATGGATGGGAGGTTGTCTGCTCTTGATGGGGTTACACTCCCTCTGAAGAAGGTGGTACATAGCTTGCGGGTCCTCCTGCTGTCGTTTGAGGCTTCCACCAGATTCAGCTGGTGGCCCAGTTGACCCCTATTACAGGCCTAATCACTGTTGTCTATGCTATGTTGTTGTTTAGTCGTGTCCGACTCTTCGTGACCCCATGGACCAGAGCACGCCAGGCACTCCTGTCTTCCACTGCCTCCCGCAGTTTGGTCAAACTCATATTGGTAGCTTCGAGAACACTGTCCAACCATCTCGTCCTCTGTCGTCCCCTTCTTGTGCCCTCCATCTTTCCCAACATCAGGGTCTTCTCCAGGGAGTATTCTCTTCTCATGAGGTGGTCAAAGTATTAGAACCTCAGCTTCACGATCTGTCCTTCCAGTGAGCACTCAGGGCTGATTTCCTTAAGAATGGATAGGTTTGATCTTCTTGTAGTCTATGGGACTCTCAAGAGTCTCCTCCAGTACCATAATTCAAAAGCATCAATTCTTCAGTAATCAGCCTTCTTTATGGTCCAGCTCTCACTTCCATACATCACTGCTGGAAAAACCATAGCTTTAACTTATACAGACCTTTGTCGGCAAAATGATGTCTCTGCTTTTTAAGATGTTGTCTAGGTTTGTCATTGCTTTTCTCCCAAGAAGCAGGCGTCTTTTAATTTTGTGACTGCTGTCACCATCTGCAGTGAACATGGAGCCCAAGAAAGTAAAATCTCTCACTGCCTCCATTTCTTCCCCTTCTAAGTTAGATTGCTGCAATGTATAGGGCTGCCTCTGAAGACTGTTCAGAAGCTTCAGCTAGTGCAGAATTCAGTGTCCAGGTTGCTCATGGGGGCAAGATGGTTTGAACATATTACACCAATCCTGACCCAAGTGCACTCGCTGCCAATTAGTTTCCAGGCCCAATTCAAAGTGTTGGTTTTAACATATAAAGCCTTAAATGGCTCAGGACCACAATACCTTGAGGACCACTTCTCTCCATATGAACCTACCCAGACCCTGTGATCATCTTCTGAGGTCCTTCTTTGCAAAATATAGTAGTAGTAGTAGTAGTAGTAGTAGTAGTGATGGAAAAACAGCATATGCAAATCAATCAAAGTCTTCCAACATTCTTTGAATATATTGTAGGCAGAACTATATGTAGCTGTACCTTTTTGTTAGCAGGTAGAAGTGGGGTTCAAAAGCTGTTTGGAAGGGAATTTCAGGGGACAAAGAGTTAATACAGGAGTAGGGAACTTTCTTCAGTGCTTGGGCTCATCTGCCACCATGTGTAACTTTCTAGGGTGGCAGGGCCAAAGACAAAAGTGGGTTGAGCATTGGTTGTGACCTTTACCTCTGAACAGTTGGCGACATTCTAAGCACATCCAAGTCAGAGGTTTGTAGCCCCCCTTCCTTAATGCATCTCTCAATCTTTCATCCAGAGAATCAAAAAACATGGTTGCTATTCAAGGCTACATTTCAGCCAGGCAAAAAGGCCCCAGGAAAAGAGCAGAGCAGGACTGATGAGAGGACTGCATTGGACAGCTGAGGTGCTCAGCTCTAGGCTTAAGAGAAGCCACTCCTCTCTAGTCTTCCCCTTCAAACTGCAGCCCACATGCAGAACTACATGCAGGATTTATATGTTAGTATCACTAACCACTAAGTTATAGAGCATCATTTTGTTTTGTCATTGGAAAAAAAATCTGCATTTAGAAATATTTTTTGGTCACTTGAGCTCTTGTTAGGACTGTGAGAAAATGCAGGCTTTGGGGTCTTACCCAAGGCCGCAGAGGTGAAGGGGACGGCCCCACACTCAGGCAGGCTTGCGTCATTCTGGAGATAACCAGGTCCACAATTAGCTGCCTGTCTTCCTCCACATGCTCCCCAATCAGAGGCATTGAGCTGTCCATCACCTGCACAAAGAGATGAAGTGAGTCCTTTTATATCAATGGCAGCCAGATCCTCACCTTCAAACCACCTTTAGACACCTTTAGCTAATGGGGCAAATGCAGAACCCAAGAGTTGGGGAAATGTGGACAGATAAGATGCAGGACCATCATTGCATACCTTCATGATTGCCAATTGGTAATGCTTAAGGTAAGCATTCACTCAGCATAGTGTTAGGCTTTTCAGCCTGTCTGAAAAAGGGAGGGGGGAGGAGCATATTGAGGAGCCATTGAAGCCCTGAGAATCAACCTGAATTAGCTTACCTGAGCCACAGGCAATTCTCTTGGGCAACCCCTCTGCCCACCTGTTATCTAACCTGGCAGCTTCAGATTCCATGTGGAAATAGAAGCCCTATTTACATCCAATGGCACAGGCTGATTTGCGATCACTAGATGGGGCTATTGTACCCTGCAAACTTCGTACTCAAAGCAACATAATAATTGTTATTTAACTTATTTAGGGCTGCCATACTGGGATTTGAAAGGCGGAATTGATGCCCGGCGGTGGGGGGGATTTCTGAAATGTGGTGCTTTGTCAATTGAAAAATTGCATCTTTACTTTTTGAAATATGGCAACCCTAATTATAGTAATAGCAAATTTATTCTCTTGAGTGTAGATCTTTACACAGTCAAAATGGCAACATCCACACACAAGAGGGAAGTTATCAGTTGTGGGGGTGGGGGAACTCCAAGGTTTGCAGAAGTATAAAAATTAAAATAAAGGAAGGGGTGCTTCAAAAACAGCCCAATAGTTTGCTCAGTGGCCATGAAATACTGAGTGTTCATTGAGAAGTGGGTGGGGGGGGGAAAGAAAATGGGGTGCTTGTGGAATGGAGTATCCTAGAAAAGGACTTGCCTGGCACCCCAAACAGGAGCCATCTGTAGTCCACAGAACGGAGTAGGCAGCAACAGTGCTCTCCCCACTTGTGATTCCCAGCACATTTAGAAACATGTATACTTTAAATAGAAATTCAATGCATGTCACTATAGCAGGGTACCAGATTATGACCAGGTGGTGTTTATGTTTGCCTGCCTGCCTGCCTGCCTGCTTGGTCTAGATGTCAGCTGCCGATGGGCAACTTCAAGGTCTTTCTTCTAAAGTTTCTTTCTCTTTAAACCAAACGTGGACTGGACAGCCCTTCAGACAGAGGACTGTCCTCTGTAAAGTAGGGCACACTGATAGGCTGTGCCATTGCGGCGTATTTGAAACACCCACCGAAGGCAGGGCTATTTTGCTAGTGAACTCCAATAGCGGTAATAATGTAAAGCAGGGATGGGCAGCCTGCGGCTGTTGCACTCCAACTCCCATCAGCCTCCCCAGCCAGCATGACTAATGGTAAGGGATGATGGGATTTGTAGTCCAGCAATGTCTGGAGGGCTACAGGCTCCCCACCCCTGAAGTAAAGGAAGCTACAGGTCCCTAAGGAGAATGGAGGCTACTTTGGTTATCTCTGCCACACTAGCACAAGAGTTTTCTTTGTTGCCAGATATTAAATAAAATCTGACCTTACAATGCTGAGATAAACACGTGAAGCTAGACACAAAGCTGGCGTATACAAAGCAGAAACATTTTCCCTCCTTCCCTGAAAATAAGACTTCCATGTAACAGCTGAGACAAAACAGAGGCAGGCGTCCCATGTGGCTCCGGCCTTCACCACTGTGCAAGGTCAGCAGCTGTGTCCTGCTGCTACAGCTGCTCTCTCCTGATAAGGTATCTCGGAGGGAGAGGGAGGGAGATGGGCAAAGGATGGGGGGGGAACCCATACCCCTTTCCCTAGCTATCTCCTCGACCTCTGTGTACTGTGGTGAGACATGAAGGCTAAACTTGTTGCTGTTCTCAGGAGTTAAGAAGAGCATGGAGGTTGGCTGAGCGGAAGGAAGGAAAGAAAGCGCCAATTCCATCACATCAGAGGGATGGTGGGTTCATGAAATGGCAAAATGATAAGTGGGTTTACACACACAAAGCTCTTGGGAAGCCAGCAAAGTCCAAACAGTGGCAAGATGAGCAATTCTGGCTATTGGGCTTCCCAACTGATCAGAAAAAAAGTGCCCTGGCCTTTTCCTGTGCTTTGAACCTCAGTTAGGAGCAGCCTTAGACTGACTCCAAGCTTAGCACGGTTGACCCTGACTGGTAGTGGTTCCCTAAGGCTTTAGACCCAGTCCTACCCAGAGGCAGAATCCCTCTGCCGTCTCTTTTACTTTCTTCTCCCTTCCAACATTTTAAGACAATGATTATGATATTATGATATTATTATAATTCTGGACCTACGTTGTCCCCTACCCCAATTCATACTGAATTTTGTACCAGGGCACTAGTGGGACAGCTTTTTCTGGCCACCCTTGAAAGTGTCCCAGCAGCAACCGTGCCAGTAGCTGGTCTCAGATGATTTGCAAGAAAAGGAGGGACATCAGAGAAGCCTAAAGCAAACATGTTTTCCTCTCCTGGCAGCACACTTGTCTCACACAACCTTTGACCTGCCACCGATTCTTACAGGATACTTGCGCAGCGCAAGAATGTGCCATCGCCACAGGGCTCATGTGGTTCTCATCAGCTTCCCCAAACTCAGTGGGTGGGAGAGTGCTCTCCCACGTACAGCTCTCTGGATGTGTCAGTGGCCCTGGATGTAGCATTCAGCCGGCTTTGCTCATCTTCCTGCGTTGGTGGAGTTTACAGCAGGGCAGACACCGTGTCTCCGTTCCAGCATCCTCACACCGTAACCAAGGACACTTGCTCATTCTTCCGCACAGTCGCCTTGATGATGTCCTCCCCCCACTGAGCAGGTCTCCAATTTCAGCTTTGAGAAATTTCAACTATACAAAAAACGATCTCTCTTTTTCAAATGCCCACCCCTTTCTCCAGTGGCCTGACCGACCCGACTCCCACCAGCAAGGACCCCCTTGGCACAGCAGGCCTCACTTCAAAAGGCTAGCTTTTCCAGCCATGGTTTGTCCCAGCTGGTGTGTGTTCCTGGGACACAGCAGTTCATTATTCATGCCACCCACAGACTCCTTGGGGAGTTCCTCTTTCATTTTAGTTACCATCTCAAACAAGTTGCACCTCCAGTTCAAGAGTTCAGAGGTTTCATTTCAGCAGGACAACAGGGGAGCAAAATTAACACATAGGGGCAAAGGCACCTGTTAAAGCCCCCCACAAGTCCTGCTGAAGAGCCTTTAATAATCATTTCATTTGTAGCCAATGCAGGTATCAAAAGATCAAGCAAAGACACACCATAAATCTTTGTTTTGACATCCCCATTTTGCTCCCTTTGTGAATCATGTGCTGCTATCTTTTACAGCAGGTTTGGGGAGCCTGTGGTCCTCCAAATGTGGCTGGACTACAATTCCCATCAGTTCCTGCCAGTGTCCAGGGCTAATGGGAGCTATAGTCTGACATCTGGAGGGCCACAGTTTGGCCATCTCTGTTTTACAGGCACCTAGTACTGCACAATGAAATGGTAAGCTGTGCCTGCTGATTTCTACCTATCTGTTGATGTTAAACACACAGGAGCAGGCCAGAGTAATTTATTTGGCCAGGTGGCAATCAGTAATGCCGCCAGTCTTGCTGCTCTTTGGACTCAGCCAGCCTCCTGTGAGAGTTGTGCTACTGCTCTGTGTTTATCCTTTCTGCCATTCTACCCACCACTCCTTTGATGTGATTAATCAGCTCTTTCCTTCCTTCCTTCCTTCCTGCCAGCATCCTTGTTCAGTTGAAAATGGCAAGAAGTTTAGCCTTGTCTTAATGCAGAAGTGGAGGAGATGGTGGGAGAAAAGGGATGCCTCTGAACATGTCAGTTTCATTTTGCTATCCCTGCTAATAGCATCTCAGGCCAGCTGATTTCTGAGAGATCTGCTAGTTACAGACCCAGAGATACATGGCTTGAGAACAGCCTGAGATACCTATGAGTCTATGATCAAGCCATCTGTTCTGATTCAGCATTAAAGAGTGGGCTTTCCTGGGGAAAGTGGGGTGTGTGTGTGGGGGGGGGAGGCACTCAGATACAGACCAGGAAAGTGCTGACCTTTGCCTAGAAAGCGCAGGGCAGAAGTTAAGTGTGGATAAGTCCATTGTCTTCTGTGCTTCTGTTAAACGAATGTGCATTGAATATATGGAGCGTGGTTGAATAAATGAATGAGGGGCACTTGCCATGCACAGCAGTTTCTACATACATGCATGCCTCTGTGTGTGTCAAATAATGTAATATATACTTTGTTACACATCCTTTTTGAATGATGCTTACATGCCACTCATTCAACCTCTCACCTCAATTATATAATCTTTTCCATCCTTGCTGTGGACAGCTTTGACTGCGCAGATGTCAAGGCCTCCAAACATCTCTGCAACGGAATCTGCCCAGAGTCGATATCTGCAAAAACCACATAAGATTGCTTGTAGAAACTGCAAAAAAATAACCCCGAATAGCCCCCTCTTCAGAGATAATCAGTTTTCTTAACTTCCAGCCAAATATATAAACATCTTATGAGGCTTGGAATGCATGGTTGACCCCATAGATTAATTCTGCAGTTGATTGCCTAGGCATTAAAGTAATCACTTTTCTGGCCATAGCCAACAGCTCTGCAACCTAGTGAGAGAGCAGGAAGCAATCCTGGGCAAACACAAAGAGAAATTGGACTGTTTAGACTAGAGTTGTTACTTATCTATTGTGATAATCAAAATGTCTTCTCTCAATATAGTGCTTCTGTTTGAAGGGCATGATGTCTATGCCAGTGTTTCCCAACCTTGTGCCTCCAGCTGTTTTTGGACTACAATTCCCATCATCCCTTGCCACTGGTCTTGCTAGTCAGGGATGATGAGCGTTGTAGTTCAAAAACAGCTGGAGGCACAAGGTTGGGAAACACTGGTCTATGCAGCACTCAAAGCACACAATTAGTCCTCCAGCCAATTAGCACCATAGTTGTTAAAACAAATGTGTTGTGTGCACAGGACTGTGAAAGTCTGTGGTCACATAATGGGCCGGTCAGATTATTACTAGGAACACAAGAGCAGCCCTGCAGGATCAGACCAAAGGCTTATCTAGTCCAATATCCAGTTTCCCACAGTAGCCAAACAGATTCCTATTGGAAGCTCACAAGCAGGATGTGAGGGCAAATGTCTCTTGCTGTTGTTCTACAGTGCCTTGCATCCTGAGGCATGGTGCTTCTAGTTCTGGATGCAGAACATAGCACCACGACTATTAGCTGTGGACAACCTTTTCTTCCACGAAGCTGCCTAATTCTATTTTTTAAAGCCACATTATCTGGCAGTGAATTCCATAGTTTAGCAATGCTAATGTGTGAGTATGTTCTTACTTTTGCTTGTCCTGAATCTCCCAACATTCAGCTCTTTATTGGCTAGCCCTAGGTTCTCATATTATAAGAGATGGAGAAAAATATCCCTCTTTTTCACTTTTCCCACACCTTGTGTAACTTTAATTGTGCACCCTCACCAATTTGCCTGAGCTCTACAATATCCTTTCTGAGAGGTGGCCTCAGATACAGAAGTCCTCTTTTGCATCTGGGTGCCTTAGCTGAGGCAGGAGGCATATCTCCGACAACTGCAGCTCATGTGTGATAGAAAGAGAAAGAAGGAGATCTCGATACCATTTCTGAATAATACCACCCTACCCACAATGCTGTTGCCGTTGCATAATGAGGCAACAAAGCCCTTGGGGAAGGCAGAAAGAAAGGGGCCAGAGGTGATCATCTGAATACCTTTCTTGGCAGGGAAGTGGCGAAGTATAAATATATTCATACCGGTGAGCTAATTCTTTCCCACACTGGGTATGTATGAGGAGAGGGGTGCCAGGAATGGGCTGTTGACATTGAGGATTAACCCCATGAATCAGGCAGGTTCTCCATGCTAATACACAAGGCACTGCAAGGCCAGTGCAGCAGGGAGGACCGCATGAAACTGATGAGCAAAGGGCTTTGCACTGTTCATGCAAGGACTGAGGAAGAGGGATTGGAGAGGCAGGATGGTGAATATTTCTTGGTTCACAATCTGTATAAGTACAGATATGAAATTTGTTAGCTGGTCTCATTCAAGGCCTTAATGCAGGAGTGAGTGCGGATAACAAGGAGGCACTTCAGTGCAAACTGCAGCTTCTTTCTGTGGATGTGTACATAGGAACTGGCCCTGTATCAAATCAAATCAAATCAAATCAAATCAAATCAAATCAAATCAAATCAAATCATTCAATCAATCTACAGTAGCTCAATGCTCTTTGCACTAGTGGTACCCAATGTGGGCTACAGCTCCCATCATTCCTGTCCACTGGCCATGCTGGCTGGGCCCAATGGGAGTTGGAGACCAACAACATTGGGAGGTCACTATTCATGACCTACGCTGACTGGCAGCCATCCCGTGGGGTTTTGCATGGTTCTCCAGCCCTGCTTGGAAATGATAGGGACTGAACCTGGTCTTCTGCATGCAAAGCACATCCTGTACCACTGAGCTGCAGCCCTTCCCCTGAGACGTATTGAAATATACAGTGTCAATTAAAAAAGATCACATATGACTATCGTCATGTGGGTTGAACCCTGGAAGCTTTCTGTGTAGGAGTCTCATCATTATGTGACCTGTCTGAGAAAGAGCAGCTTAAGCTTATTGTGGCTGCCTCTTTTGGCTTTAAGATTAGGGATGGGGAACAGCCATCCCTCTTGTGCCCAGCCCATCTGGGCAAAATAATGTTTAGCTGGGGGAAGTAGGCAGGTAGGCGTCTGAGGTGGAAAGGCATGCACAGGAGTAATGCTCTATTTTTTCTGAGAGCCAATTGCTGCTCACCCCAGTCAAGAATGCAAAATGCAAACAGAACCTCTGTGCTACAGTGTATTTGGGATAATGGTTAATGAAGCCCAAGGCTTCATTAACAGCCCCTCCTGCTCATTACCTCTCAGTCATGGCGATCTGTTCCAACATGGCAGAACCTGTGTTTGCTTTCCAGTTTCCAGAGATCGATGTCCTCCTGGGAAAAACAAACACACCACATGCGGACAATAAATTCCCCCAAACACTGTGATTTCCTCTCCATATTAAAGAAAGGAGGGTGGGAATGAGGGAGGGTGTTGGCAGGGAACCCTTCCTCAGCCCTGTGCTCCTCTTTGCTCTTAAGCCATTGCCGACGCCCTAGTCAATGTGTAACTCCATCTGGAGGCTGGGAAGTTCTCTCTGTGTGCTGGCATCCTCCTGCTTAGTTACATCTTCATCCAAATGCTGGCTGGGTAGTCTTATATTGGCCTTATGAACTCTCTTCTGGGTATGTCAGGCTTTGTACAGTAGAAGAGTCTGTGAAAAGCCTGCGGAATAATTAACCTCGTGCTCCGTAGTGTAGAATTTAAACGGCACAGGAGGCTGCATGCCAGAAGAGCCGAGAGAAAGCTTCCCACAGACATCAGTGGGCTTTAGAGCTGGTTGTGAAAAGGGGGCAATGTGAAACTCTAAAGAAAAGGGAAACACTGGCTTTCATTGAGCCTGCTTTCCATTGTAATGACAGCCTGCTGGAAATGCAGCTATCTCTGCCACCATAAAGTCAATGGTTCTAAAAGCCACCCACCAGCTTCTCCCGGTGACTTCTCAAGAGTTATTAAAGGGCACGAGCCTCCTTTCTCCTAACTAGCTGTTGATGTCTGCTCATGCTGCTTGTGCCGCTGGCAAACATGGTCTTCCGGGCTTTGCGTTCAGGAGGAGCGCAGCAGTCACAAAGCTTGCCCAGACATACGATCAGACATTGCACTTGTCAGATCTCACAGGCCACAGCTGAGCAACATCAGGACTGATCTGTGTCATAGAATGGGGATCAGAAGAACATTTTTGTTTAAGACACGTTGTTCTCCACAATTAGCATTTAGGAGAAGAAAAAAGTGCATTCAGTTTTGAACATGAATACCTTTAAAAATGAACAAACCAACAGAGCAGCTTTGCTTCCCGCCCCACCCAGTCCCAAACTTGACAGCAAACTCACATGTAAGCTTTGTAATTGTTGCCAATTTTCTGGATTCGAATATCATATTTGGAATCAATGAAAGTCTCCGTCGTGACGTATGTTTTGGCCATGGCTACCACGCTTGCGATGTCTTGGAAGTCAAGCTGGTTCTCAACTTTCACCTTTGGTTGATGAAATGTGGAAAAAGAATATGTGTGAGAGTGTGTAAGAAAGTGCAGCATTAGTGTATGAGTACTACAAACTAGCAAAATATTGATCATAATAATATTCTTGCTTATTAAGATTATAAGACAATGACGCTTATGGGTAAATGAACGTGGTTGTTGTTCATTAGCAAATTCTGGAAGTGGAGAAAAAAAGCACAAAACCATGCTTTTAAGTGTTTTCTAGGAGGTTAGAAGAAAGCTGCCTTTGATCGAGTCAGACTGAAATATACTTGGAGTCGAGTGTGAATTTCATGCTCTTTATTCTGCTCATAGTAGCAATGAATGAAACTTTCCATGAAATGTCTAGCTATATATACATTATTTACACAATGGGCCCCTAGTGATTGGCTAATTCCAGGCTGCTGCTGTAGGCCAATCAGGTTGTGGATTCACCTCCTCCAGAAGCCTGATTGGCTGCTCCCGCAGGCCAGTCAGGTTGCTGATTTACTTCATCTAGGAGCCTGATTGGCTGCTCCTGCACTTCCACCTGGAGCTGGATTGGGTGGCTCCTGCGGACAAATCAGATTGCTGTATTCTATTCTGGATCCTATTGTTCTAGGATTCAGAACAGTACATAACACAGACTATTGGTCCATCTAGCTCAGTAGTATCGGCTGAGCTCTCCAGGCTTTCAGACAGGGGACTTGCCCACCCCCGTACCTGGAGATGTTGGCGATTGAACCCTGGGACCTTCTGCTTGCAAAGCAGATGTTCGTTCCATTTATACAACCTAAAGCACCACCATGCACAGGGAGAAAGCCCAAGGTTTGTAGAAGTATAAAAAAAAATATTTAGGGGAAATTCAAAATGTGTGTGAAGGTGGGTGAGTGTTTGGGGTGACTCTCCCAAACAGTCTACTGGTGATTGAGTACTCTCAGTGGCCATGGATGACTGCTGGGATGAGAAAAATGGGAAACTGAGGGCGAGGTAGACTTGAAGAGAGTGCCTGGAAGCCTGAACAAAAGCACTCTATACTGCAGCATTGTTGTTGTTGTTTTAGTTATTCTTTTGCATGTCCTAAGGATGGGGCAGGAATATGTTTGGTCCATTTTTTTCAGCAGTTGATGTGAACCAATGATCCTGGATTTGCTTTTGGGTTGTAATGCATCTCCCAGTCTCATTAAATACTTCCCAGGATTTTGCAGTGGATTTTTGATGCAGAAAAAGGGTGCATGAAAGCACAGGTTGGTATCCAATGAAGTGCTTCCACTAGCACATGGTCTTTTGGCTACACAACGGAACTTCCCATCCCTCTCCTCCAACTGTGTGCCTTCTACACCCTCCCCTTATCAGATCCAAGATGGTGGTGGAAAACCCAGAACATATTTAGGGAATGGAGCAGGTGAGAAGAGGAGAGAGAGAGAGAGAGTTTCGTTGCTGAGAAATAAATCTTTGCATTAGTGGAAGTAGTTAGCTATCATTCTTACAGTTTACATTTTTTAAAAATCATTCAAGATTCACATTCTACTGGTGACTGTATTGAAAAGCATGCATTCTATGTAACATTATTATTATTATTTTTTTACAAAAAGGTGCAAAAATGCACACAATGGGAACGAGAAGACCTGTGACTCAGTATCAGTGTAAACAAAACAGAATGGAATTAGCAGCTCAGCCCATCCCTATTATTTACCCATAAATGCTTACAATCCAGCTGCCTCCACTAGCATCTATTACACAGACAGGGACATAGGAGTTCTGGAACTTGTGTCTTTAGAAGGGAATGATGTGGGCCTAAGAATAGTGTCTCTCACATACAAGTGAATCTCATGTCCAGGCCGTTGCAAGATCTAAATTGGGTTCTGCTTTATCTGTCAGGCCAGTTATTTTATGAGATAGACAGATGGTTGTCACGGAAACCAAGAAGTCCTAAGCTAGTCATCATGAGTCAGCCTTGATCTGTAGCTTTGCAAAACTCTGAGAACAATGAGTCTCTTGTGAACATAATTATTATCCGGCCTGGTACCACACCTATAATTCAAGCTCTAGCACTCCCTAGTATTCCATACTTCTTATGGGGATGCATCAGATCTCAGATACTAGCATAAGCACACAACTTTATCTTCAGCTCCACTTAGTGGACTCCCCTATTCTCCAGTGTGTAGCTTATTTGGAAATTTTGATCTGGTGGGTGTTACTACCAGCTGATAGAAGTGTAGCTTCTCTGTGGAAACAAAATGATAAGCAACAGATGTATTGATGTCAATTAGAGTTTATTTAGAGTCAGTCTGATGCAGAGCGTGCGAGTGTGTGTGTTTTTTTAAAAAATGCTACCACTGATTTGTTGTTGTATTTATATCAGGCCTATTTAAGTTGAAGCACTTTATAAAACTAATAAATCTCATGTCGTTTTGGCAGAATGCCTCTACAGAATCTCGCAGCTGAAGTCCTGTCTCCATTAAATGAGGCACAGGCATGAAATGAAAGGGGCAAAATGCAGTCAGTCAGAAAGGATGAGAAAGAGAGCATGCAAAAGCATAAATTAGAAGCTGCATTTTTGAAATCATCATCAATAATAATCATGTTTGAGTCCAACCCTTACTCTAAGGAGCAAAGAGGGCTACCTGGAGATGTCAGGGATTGAACCTGGGACCTTAGGCTGATGCTCTATCACAGAATGACTGCTCTTTCCCAGGTCTGAACAGGGCCACCATCTCAGTGTGTGTGTGTGTGTGTGTGTGTGTGTGTGTACATCCATGTTTAAATACTTCTAAAAGAGCACATTCATTTTGACTCCTATTAAGAACGAGTTCAGTCTCCCTCAAATGGAACAGACGTCTTGCAAAATAGCAAATGCACAATTTACCATCTATTTGCTAAACTGTGATGTCCGTTTGCTCAGCAACGTACTCTTTCTACAACTATCAGCTGCAGCTTCCTACAGAGATTGCATGACTAGTTGTGAAAGCTTCAGACACCTGTATTGACAAATGCCTTCCAATCAGCACAAAAAGTTTCACCAGAAAGGTGCTAAGAATACTTTGCTGGCCCTAAGGGAGGCTTCCCTTGGAATGCAAACAACTGCTTTGGAGAGGCCATTTTTGATGGGACTGTGGCAGGGTTAAGATCCTCCCTCTCATCCCAAGGCTGTACTCAGGCTCCCCTCCCTCCCCCTGTTATTTACATAACAAAAATGTGCATGTGGTTAAATACATTCAAGCATTAACCTCATGTTTAGTTTGGGCCTGAGTTTCATCTTTGATCTTTATTTAGCTTGAGCACCAGTGCAGCTCCTGCTAACTCAGTACTTGTACACGGTTGCAGTCAATGTTATGGTAAGCTAAAAATCATTTAGCGGTATTCTTGTCCCACTGCCGAAACGTTTTTGCACCAGTGGAATGTTATTGTGCAAGACAAAGCACAAGGAGGATGCCGGTAACTTTGTCGTACAATAGATTGTCTGTCTGTTCTGCAACAAGTTTCCACTAGCGCAACTGTTGCACTGGATTTCTCTGTTGCACAACATGAAAAGTTGCCCGTCTGGTAGCGCAAGACTCCTTGTGCTAGTGGATAAAGAATGTGGGATTCAGTCCGAAGCAACTAAGGGTAGAATGCCCATGACCCCTGGGGGGGGCATGCCTTTCCAGGTGCCATGGGATAGAACGGATCTACGCCTTCAGTGTTGGAGACAGAGGCCTGATAATGGAGAAGAAGATATGGTGGAGACTCTCTCTTGACCTTCACTGGATCCTCCAACTTCAACTGATGTTTTAACATTAGGAGGGCCTAAAAGGGTTGTGCTATGGGGAGGACTAGCCCACCTAGCAATTCAAATGCACCCTTAAGTGCAAGTAGATAAATAGGTACCGCTTTATAGCGGGAAGGTAAACGGCATTTCCGTGTGCGGCGCTGGTGCTGGTTCGCCAGAGCAGCTTCGTCACACTGGCCACGTGACCCGGAAGTGTCTTCGGACAGCGCTGGCTCCCGGCCTCTTAAGCGAGATGAGCGCGCAACCCCAGAGTCGGACACGACTGGCCCGTACGGGCAGGGGTTCCTTTACCTTTACCTATGGGGAAGACTAGGAAGCAGCTTAGCACACTCTAAGCCATTGAGAAAGATAGGCAAGCTAAGAAGGTCATCCAATGCACTCCCTTTTAATTCTTTCTCATTATTTTTCAGTCAGGTGCCCTCCTTGGACAACTTTAATTACCTGCTAAAACCACTTTATCTTATGGCAAACCTACCCAGACACATTTATTATAAAATTCTGTTGATTTTATCTGTATTTTTAATCATTTTATTATGTATACTTGTTTTAAAATGTTGTTAATTTTATTTGTATTTTTTTTGAGAAATATTTTACACCATTTTTTTTGTAAACCACCTAAGGAATTTCCTTTCTTGAATAAGAAGCTTATATATTATGTTGTGTGTGTGTGTGTGTGTGTGTGTGTGTGTGTGTGTGTGTTAAATTGTTTGCAATGGGAGAGAAGCTTTTGTTTTTTTTTTTTTAAGTTGCAAAAAGCAGAGAGGACCACTAGAGCATTCCTGTGCCCTCATTTCTGCCCTGAAGGAATTTCCATGCACTGCTCTGGTTTGCCAGAAGCGGCTTAGTCATTCTGGCCTCATGACCCGGAAGCTGTCTGTGGACAAATGCCGGCTCCCTCGGTCTATAGAGTGAGATGAGCGCGCAACCTCAGAATCGTCCGCGACTGGACCTAATGGTCAGGGGTACCTTTTAGGCTTGAACCTGGCAGGGCTCCAGGTATGAAAGTTAAACCATTTTTGGATCCCCTCCCTCTAGGACACTGAGGGTGGTCACTTATGCATTGCCAAAAAAAGGGGGAGGTGCTGATTTGCATAAAAGTGCATGTAATAATTTATGTGCAAATTTAGAAATAATTCAAGCAGAAATGCAATACATCTCACCATAGCAGGGACCACTGACCAGGCTCTAGGTATAGATGCTGGGAACATAACTGCTTTAGGGTTTTATGTAGCTCCCTAGCTGTTGA